AGAGGACCCTGCCTCTTGCTTCAGCAAGAATGTAAAATCAAGACCCTGGTGCAAAGGCCGTGAATCCCCCTCTGGGATTCTCCCCAACCTTCAGCATCTCAAGGGACAAGGAGACCCTCCTCCTTTCAGGGTGATCTGCTCCACCAGTGTCAGTCCCACTCCTCCCAGCCACCCTGGAGCCCCTCAGCGATCTGCCCTGTCGGCCACCAGTCCCTCCTGTGAACACAGCTGTCTCCAGGGCAGAAGGGGGAGAAGAAGCTTTTCCTTCACTGTCAGAATTGTATACGGGGAGGCCCACTCTCAGGACCTCGGCTAGAACATTCCATGGACAAATAGAAAGCCAGGTCCTCCATCCCTGTGTCCTCGGTCACAAGCCTGGCTCATAGCCGGAGCGCCACTCATCTGGCTCTAATGAGCCTGACTGCTTTTTAAAAATGCAGCCAGCCAGCCAAAGCCTCCCTGTCCTCACCTCACAAACTCATCAGTCAAACTGCTACCTCACATTTACAGACTCTCAGGAGACTGAGGATCGTTTTGTTTATTAAACAATTAAAATGTAAAACATTTGGTTATTTTTTAATTGCCTGTATCTTGCCCACATCATTACAGCATTACTTACCTCCAGCAGAATAATTAACTTTTCAATCATCACACTGGTTATAACTGTAACACCCATATGTCTAATATACTTTCTGAAATTAAGGAAATTAAAGATTGGCTTTAATTAGTAAACTAACATTTCACTAAATTGCAGTGCAGTGGAGAAGGATAATTTCTCCTGGTGAAAAATACAAATTATTCAGTATCATGAAAATAATTAGACTTTATTACTTTCAAATAGAAAAATTATTAAAACTAGAATTATAGTTTGTCGTCGACTGGATTATGAACTAGTCACAGGCCTGGGCTAAGCCTTTTGACCTGTCGTATGGTCCTTCATGCCTATATCCCAAATCTGGTATCAGGTCTATCCCCATCCCTCACTGAGAGGCACTTTGCAAATATAAGCACGTCTGTTAACATACTGGATGCTTCCACCAGACTGAAAGCTTCCTGCAGGCAGGCCCCTCCTTGCTCACCTCGTATCCCTGGTGCTTAGTACAGAGGGCTCAGTGACAGACAGGTGAATAAATCCATAAACACACAGAGAGAAGGTCAGAAACAAGTAAGATTATGGACGTTCACTTAAAAATACCAGCTATGAAAGTCCTAGAGATGGAAAGTAGTAATAACATCCTTAAATATACATGCATTGTAACTCCAAAGTGCTCCCGAATGCTAACAACCAGACAGAAACCTTTCTAAACAGCAATATCCATCTGGCCCTGACCTCAAAATGCCGACAACCCCTTGCCTTCTGTTCCTAAAGCATTCCCAGCCAAAATGCAACCCTCTGACATGAGGGTAGGTTCTGCCTGTTTCACTAGAAAAATCAAGCTCTAATTCCTGCCCTGCCTTTGCTTGTCTTGGTTCGAATGCCACATTTTTCCATTTAACCAGCAGGATTCAGAAAGCAGACACAGGACTTTGGAGGAGGTGGCCGGGTTGTAACCTGCATGGAGGGCCCGCAGGCTGTCCAGTGTGCTTGTCTCCAGAGCCACCTGGACGAGGGCACCCTCCAGAGCTGCTCTGCTGAAGGGGGAAGGGAGGGCCAGGCAGGCAAAGCACCCCTCCGCCCCCCAGAGTCGCACAGCCTCACCTCCCTGTATCCTCCAAAGGTTCCTGTGGCTAACTATAAAGCTTCCAAGCCATTGTTTTAAATAAACCCAAAGAGAGGCAGAAGGAAGAAACTAACATTTACTGAGCACTTACTATGTGCTGGGTAATTTTAAAACATTTTAACATTTGACTTCTACCACATCTTGACCCCATAGAGAACAGTTCTCTTATTTCAGGCAGCAAACTGAGGTTCCAAGATGGGAAGTCTTATAACCAGCAAGAGTCAAGAGCCATGATGTGACTCCAAAGGCACTCTGTGGTCTGTGCCGTTCATCACCAGAAACTGTCACTCCTCAATCTTCCACGGCCCCTCTCCTCCCCGACTCCCGGTGCAAGCTTGCGCTCAGTCACTGACACTCACAGATTAATGAGCTCATTACCATTCTGTGTGAACGAACCTTTGTCAATTTGTTACTTCCTAACAATATTCGTTCATTAAAAAATCATTACTTGAGCGTCTTAATAGATGCGTGGTACAGGGCATAGCAACCAAGCATTACCTCTATCATAGAGGTACTCCCAGACCAGCAGGGAGAAAATACAGAAGCCAGTAAAAAGGAATATTAAAAATGGTACCATAGACGTCTGTCCTGGGAACAGCATGGGGACCAAGGTCATTGGGAGAGGGAAAGAGAGACACCCGCTGCCTTCTTCACTGTCAGTATTTGATGGTTCCTGCGGCTGACATGTTTTCTGGTCATTGGGACAGATCCCAATGTTTCTAGCATTATTCATGCCTCTGGGGGAAAAAAAGGTTCAGATACCAAAATCCTTGTCCTACTCCCTCTTCAGTTTTTGGTGGAGACAGTCCTATTCCAGGAGGTAAGACAAACTGAAACTCATCAAATTTCTTTCCATTGTCCTCCAAGGATAATTTGACTTGAAATACATTTAGAAAAAAAAAAATCAATCTGACTCTTAAAAGCAATTCTGTCCCTTGCCTTCTAACATGTTCCCATCCTAGGCTAAGTCAAAGAAAGATACTGTTTTACTGCAATTTCTTGTTCACCTAAAATGCTCTTGTGTTCTAGATGAAATGGAATGTGAGTATTATTCCTACCCTGCCAGGTCTTTCTAATCCAATAATAACTTGACTACTGGCTCTCTAATGACTGTGGTTAGACTGATTAATATCCAAGCATTAAGGTAAAATCCCTCCATCCCTCCCTATGGATAATCTCAGATCAGGCTTTCTGTCCAAGTTTCCCTTTCCCTTGAGCGAGTCAACATTTTCTTCCCCCAAATTCTTGCCTTTCAGAACCTAAACAGTGAAAATCATTGTCATGGGAATAAACTGATTAGAGCCCAATGCACACAGCAGAGCAAAAATCATCATGACGAGCAATACACGGGCTGCTGAAAAGCAAAGTGACAAAAAAAGCGCTACACACAACAGCATAAATGCATAGCCAAATGTTGTCAAAACGCACAAATCATCCCAGCTCCGGAAATGTATTTGAAGGACATAATTCAAAGGAAGAAAAAAGTGTGAAAGTGCTTCCTTACAAAATGACATCTGATACAAGAAAACCGAGAAGGTGGCAGAGCCACGGCTGGGTCAATCACAGGCTATTAAAAACGATCGTTAGGAAGTCTCAGCAACCGCATGGAAAATGCTTTGATATGTTCTTAAGTTAAAATAACATGATTGCCTATGTAATAGGATTACAAATATGTCCCCCCAAAAAACTACATTTGCCTAAGGACAGTGGAATCCTGGGTAATGTTTTTAAATGTTGCTAGATGTTATAATATTGTCTTTATGATAAAAAAGCTCAGAGGAAAATAGGTGATGAGTCACTGCCTGACAATTGTCACTATGTAAGAAAGTCCCCTGTATAGTGACAATGACAGGCAGTTAAATGTGAGCACAGATGTCAGGTTCCCCTCCTTTATTCTGGTTTATTTATTAATGTTGACCTTTCCAGGAATTAAAAATTAATCAAATCAACAAATTACAGACAGATTTTGCATGACTGCCAAGAGGTAATGAGCAAATACTGAAATGACATTCGAGAGTGTAGTACAGACAGGAAGGGGAGGCGGGCAGGGCAGGAGGGGTCTTAGCTAACTGCGCCAGTTTCCTGATGTCAGCGTGGGAGGCACTTGTGCCCTTGGCTTCTCAGTTGTCATCAGATGTTAGAGGAACTGGAAAATTCTTGCTGAAGTTCAGAAAGCACCCAAGGTCCTGTGGACCCTTCTAGGCCTTGCCTAGCACCCTGTCTCCGCAGGCCTGCTGTCCACAAGGCTGGAGTCCCAGGACGACCCCACAGATGCAGCCCAGCTTCCGTCCCCACAACCAGCCCTGGGTTAAGATGGGGAGATCTTATGGGGGTTTTTTTGTGCATATTGTTTTAGCACAGATAATTTGTCATTAGTGTAGTAAAGATGCGCAACATAAAAGGTAATCTTCCGGCCATTTTTAACTGTATAATTTAGCGGCATTCAGTGCATTCACACCTTTGTGCAACCATCACTTCCATCTTCCTCCAGAACTTTCCATCACCTCAAACCGAAACTCAGTACCCATTCAACAAATACTCCCCTGCTCCCCCTCGCCTAGGCCTCTCACATACGTGGGACCACACAGTGTTTGTCCCTTTGTGACTGTTCATTCCACTTAGCATAATGTCCTCAAGGCTCATCCATGGTATAGCACGGGTCACAATGCCCTCCCCTCCGAAGGCTGAATAATATTCCGTTGTATGCATCTACCACAGGATGGGCAGCCTACCGCTTTTAGGAATACTATTGGGTCCTCTGGTTATTGACCCTGGGCCCAAGGTCAGTTCTGAGAAATGGGCTCCATCTTGTTCTCAGACCTCACACTGGCTCACCCTTCTACTACTTCCCTAGTAGTCCTTTATTGGGGAATGTCTCTAGGCTTTCAGTCCTCAGATTCTAAAGGATCATACCTTCTCTTCCAGGCTTGTCTGGAGTTCCCACCTCAGGCTGTGTTCGGTCTACCAGTCAGGGTACCAGTAACTCACCACAGATCCAAGATGGCAGCCACCTGCCTAAACTGCATTGTTTTAACGACACCTGTATCTACCCAGCCCAACCTGTCAGGTGGATCCTTCTCTCTACTCTCGTACAGGGAAAAACATCCTTTCAAGAGATGCTTGTGTCTACAGCAAGCTCAGCATCCTGTCCACATCCCAATTTTCTTCCTTCTACTGCTTCTCACCAGAACTTTTCTGTATCTTTCCTGTCTCTGTTAAAACCCTAGAACATGAGACCCAACATGGAGGCTAGAAAAGCACAGGTCCACCCACACTTACAGCCAAAGTGAGTTCCTTCCTTGAGTGATGACACCAGTGAATTTGGTCAGACGTCTCGCGTCTACTTCAATCCACTGACGGAGGTCATTCCTTCCTGCACACCACGCCCCATCGTAGAAATCATTTTCATTAATACCTGCCTGGAAAGAAAGAGAGATGTTCTTCAGGAAGATCCAGAATCAATGAATACTTTCATGAGACTTGCAGGGTTTGGGGGAGGGGGTGGGTAGAAGAAAATGGGCAGGGGACAAAGAAAAAATCACTGTGCCCTGAACACTCCTTATCCTAAATCATAAAATGGAGTGGCTTGTTATTAACAAGTTGGAAATGTTTCAATATGACATGTCCTCTTCTTGCCCAGTGCGGAAGATGAAATTTAATGAGCTCCCCTATTACTCATGCATCCAGAAGGCACAGACCGTCTCCTACATACCAGCCTACACATGCCAGGTGCTGGGGATACAAAGGTGAATCGTTCCCTTCCAGAACCTCACCATCCAGGCAGGAAGAAAGACATGAAAACGGATGAATTAGAGACACGATGCAGCCTGTGTTATTTCGGGAACCAGAGCAAATTGCTAGAGGAGCATTTAAAGGTAGGGGCTAACTTGACTGGGGAGGAGACCGGGCTAGAGGAGCTCTGAGCTGGGTGTTAAAGGGTAAGTCTATCTAGTGAATATTTACTTACTGCCACGTAAGTCACTTGATGTGTTGAGTCTGGCTACTACTGCTACCAAAGATTCTTTTGATCTGACTTTACAAGGTATGTGACATTTCTGTTCTAGAATTTTCCCTATATTATCACCATTTTAAGAGAGAATTTGAAGGAAGGAAGGAAGAAAAGGAAAAAAAGAGGGGGAGGATATCTGAATTAAGTGAAGCTTCCTAATTTACTAAGACCCTTTCTGCATGAATAGCTATTCCCACAGCTATTTCACAAATAAAGAATCAGAGAAAAAGTCTAAGTGATATTTGAAAGACAGGCCAGCCCATCTTTTCTCCCTCTGAGCAGCTTTCAGCTCAAATTCTGGGGCAGCCTAACTTCTAATGGGCAACAGCGATGTGAAATTCATAGTCCACTACAGCAGACAAACAATGTGGCCAAGGGTTCCATGAGTGGTGTCCTACCATCTCTGTGCCAGCTAACATCAGCCTTGTATCAGGACCAAACCACAGTATGTGACTCCCACCCCCTCCTGGAACAATCTGGAAAAAGGGCAGATGTCAGAACACTCACATATCTTGGTCTTCTGAAAGCACTACTATCTCAAGTGAAGGTGACTAGCAACATCCAATGGTCAACATTCTCCAGAAACTTGAGCTCTCAAGTAACCAGCACCGTGGGGTCTCATGGCATCCCGCGATCACCTCTGTGATCAGGACCTGGGAGTGCTACCAGGCTCTGCCTTCTAGAACCATCATAGAAAGACTAAATCATGCAAGCGTATCTTACCAGTCCTCACCTGTGCTTTGGTGGGTTTTGTTCAAGTGAGGGTGACTCTCTGACATGTTGCCTCTCATGTCCCCAAACTGCCCAGCCAACAAGAAGACCACTGCCCTGGGCTGGAGGCTTTACTTGCACCATCCCCGCACATCCTCACCCATGGCAGGCCTCCTCCCAATGGCAGAGACCTGTAGCACACAGCAATGCTTACAATACAGCCATCTAGCTTCTTCCAAGGAACCAGAACCCTTAATTTTTGTTGGGCTCCTCTTTTCACATCAACAGCCGTGAGACTGGCGTTTACTTCATTTATTAAAGTTAACCTTCACCATGCCTCTATGATCTCACAGGTACTGGCCCGGGTAAGAGGAATGGAAAGGTGGAAAATGTGTTCAGTCCCGCCCTCTTGGTGCTCAGAATGGACAGAAAGCCGAAAGTCCACACACACTGCTCGCGTTTTGGTCTCGGAACCTTAAAACCAACCACCGCATAAAGTGCTGGTTAAGAGCGTGTGCTCTGAAGTCCTCCTGCCTCGGTGTGAATCCCAGTCCTGCCACTTCCAACCTGTATAAAGTCAGGCAATTTGCCTAAACGTTCTGTGCCTCAGTCTCCCCATCTTCCAAAATGGCGGCAGTGCTCTTTTCTCCCTTAGGGTATTGACAGTGCTTACAACAGGCCCCGGCACACTGTGTGGGCTCAAAACCAAATTGAGTGCTGGATAAATGTTAGTTATCAGTATATTTAAAACAATAACTATCTGGCAAATTATGAAAATATGGGTGCTTTATGAATTATCCCACATTCTACAAAATTGTAAGGAATTCCAATACTATTCCGGGCATTTGCTGCCACATTTTCTACAACTTCAAATATCCAGAACAGAGTTACAAAGTCTGAAGAAAGAGAAGATTCCTAGCCTAAAGCTCTCAACAGGAACCCATGTTACTCCCCCAGGGGGCAGGTGATGGTGTCTGCAGACATTTTTGGCTGTCCCAACTGGAAGATGCGTGTGCCACTGAAAACTGATGGACAGAGACCAGCGATGCTGCTAACCATTTTGCAACACACAGGACAATACCACCACATCAGAAAGAAGTGCCTCGGGGCACCTGGGTGGCTCAGTCAGTTAGGCGTCAGCCTTTGGCTCAGATCATGATTCTGGGATCCTGGGATTGAGCCCCCCATTGGGCTTCTTGCTCAGCAGGGAGCCTGCTTTTCCCTCTCCTTCTGTCCCTCCCTTCCACTTATGCACTCTCGCTCGCTCTCTCTCTTAAATCAATAAAAGCTTTTTAAAAAAATTTTAAAAAGAAGAAGATGTGCCTCATCCAACATGTCAGCTGTGCCAAGATTGAGATTATCTGGTCGCATGCTAAGCAGAAAAGAACAGAGATGCTACAGAGCCTGGGATTTTCACCCCGAGAGAATCACAGAATGTGGAGGAGGTACCCTCCTGCTATTCGACCACAGTCTACTTGACTCAGACTTGGAATTAAATCTTGGGCTTCTGGTTTTGCCAGCCTGGGTATTTTGCTTCTGCGGCCAATCTCAGCTCTTCCTGAGCACACGAGACATTCAATTAAATGCAGTTAGGTGTCAGGGGATTGGAAGGCCCTTTCCGAAGCTGACTCACAGGAAGTGACAGCCACCTCTGCAAAATCAATTATGAATGTATAAAGCAAGCGCCTGGAAGGATTCAGTGAAAGAGGAGGGGCCAGTCCCTGAGGTGCCACCAAATTTCAGCACAGCGCAATATGTGACGTCAGTACGACGTCTGAGAGACCAAGAGAAGGGTACACTCATCCCTTTCTGCTCAAAAATGCAAGAAAGACTTCATAAATGTTGGAGAAATTTCTATCAGAAGCTGTTGTAATAAAAGTGAGATTCCTTAGAGTATAAACTAGTCTTGAAAACACTACTAAGATGGAATGATACTTTGTACTATGGGGCTCAATAAATTAAGAATTAATGTAATTCTCTCTAGGCAATTAAGTCATATTCATCATTTCTTTACCTTATAAAAAAACAACAACAATGCTTCTAACAGACTAAATTTTGCTTAAGATAAATGTGGAAATCACTATATCCAAAACAAACAGAAAATCTGATACTATCCTTTTAAGATCAAATGGGATTTTTCTGAGCTGCCTGGGTGGCTCAACTGGTTAAGTGACCGACTCTTGATTTTGGCTCAGTTTGAGATCTTGGGGTGGTGAGATCGAGCCCCAGTCAGGCTCTGTGCTGAGTATAAAGCCTGCTTAAGATTCTCTCTTCTTCTCCTTCTGCCCCTCCCCCAATCTCTCTCTCTCTAAAACAAAACAAAAAACAAATGGGATTTTTTTTTTTGTTTCAAGATGATAGAGTATATGTTGATTTCTGTGCACTTTTCTCAAAAATTCCCTCCAAAGAAAACAAGATAAAGAAATACAACTTTGGTCTCTGACAAAACTAGAAAACATTTATAATCTCCAAATTACAATATATGAAGACAGAAATCAGATGGAGGAGTCCCAAATGACTCAGCAAGAGGAGAAGCAAGCCACCCAGGGCTTTCATTTAAAAAGCTCAGAAACTAGACTCCTAGGTAGCTGGAAAGGTGAGGCAGGGCTGAAAACAGGTAACTGATTCAAAACATGTATAAAAAAACAGATTCCCACAGAGCTCTTTCTACAGATCTCCCTACCCCATAGAAGACCTGAAATTCTTCTCTTTTAAAAACAAAACAAAACAAAACAAAAAAACAAAACAAAACAAGCAACCCCATAGGCTCTGGATTTGGGGGCTCCAGACTCAGGAAGGAGGTGTGATATGATAGCTACAAACAGGGAACTTGGTCAGTGGGTAGCAGCGAATTGAAAAGTGAGATGCCCTGGCCCCCCTCCTCCTTCCAGCTCCAGGACAAAAGGCAGCAAGGCTTCCAACAAACAGAAATTAAACAAACTGAAAATGTAATGGGGAACAGACGAAAATCTCAAAGAAATTATAATGACTATTCCTTGACAAAGAGGCTCTTGTTGGCATAAAACAAAAGAAGGATATTCTTAGAAAGGAAAAGGGAGCTCTTGCAATGTGAAAACTCCAGAAACAATGGGCAATCAAAGAAAAATAAGAGCAGAGGAGGAAATTACAAAAAAAAAAAAAAAAAAAAAAGACTACAAGGGAATAATGTCCCAGATCTGTAAGGTCAAAGTCTCCAAAACGCTAAGAATCCACTATGATGAATAAGACCCACACCCAGACATATCTTTATAAAACTTCAAAACATCACACATAAAGAGAAGATTCTAGAAGCTTCCAAAGAGAGAACAAAAAATAAAGCAAATATGTAAATCCAAGCCAAAGGAATCAGCACGGTACCAAAATTCTTGGTAGCAACATCAGAAGCTCAAAGACTGGAGGCATAATGACTTCAAAATTCTGAAGGAAAAGACTTTTCAACCCATGAATTTTACACTCAGCCAAACTGTCCATTGTGATGGTAAAATAAAGACATTTCAGATTCACAGATCCTCAAAAAATTTCTCATGCACCAATTCCATAAAGCTGTAAAATGAACGTACTCCACAAAAATGAGGCAGAACACCAAAAAGGAGATATGAGATCCAGAAATCAAGGGTGCCAATATAGGAAAGAATTCCCAGAATGAGGGAGGAGATAGTCCCAGGAGAGCAACTGTATAAAACCCAGAAAGCAAGCCAT